GATACACTTTACAGCAGATGCTTGATAGGATTCTGTTTGCACCAATTGAACTAATATACAATAAAAAATAAAACCTAATCAAACCAAAAGAACAAACTAGACTTACTATGTCTGTTTGAACAACAGAACATAGGGCTGTTCCCCATTGCTTGAATGAGAAATGAAGTTAAAATTGCAACAAAAAGAAAAGTCGTTAAAAGGTATAAAGTAAAAAAAGAACGAAAAACCAATATAATTTTAAAGAAGTGGAAAAAATAAAGTAGGAAAAAAAAACAACATTGAAAACCAAGTTCACTGCGACGATAATTAGTGAGACTTGAACTATGGCTGCAATGGTAATAGCTAAAGGTAAGAATCAATTCAGCACTACAATTTTGCCAACAGGACAAACCCTATGAAATTCACTGACACAATGCTTTGTTTTGCCCTTGTCTCTCAAAATATTTGATCTTTATAATTATGAGTAATTAAAGATAGGATTATGTCATTGTGCTTTTGTTGTAGACTTGGGATCAGTACAAGTGGAACTAGTCTAGAATTACCAACTGTAATATTATTCCAGAATGGTAAACCAGTCATCCGTAGGCCTGTAAAGAACAACAAAGGAAAAGTTATCAAGTTTCAGTTTACTGAGGTAATATACCATAGAGCTATTATAACAACTAGAGTGACAACTAAACGATGAAGCAATGCAGAGTTGTGTATGTGTACTCAACAAGATGGCCGCCGTAGGAAAGCGCCACCTTCAGGCTTAGTATACATATTACAACCATAAATAAGACTGCTGACTAACTATTATTTCATTGATCATTTTTATTATTAATAATATTAATGAATAAACTGGACTCAAAACTTTCATGGTTAAATTGAGGGCCCATTGAAAACGATGCTTAGGCGTATTTTGATTGACTGACTCTACGCAACAGCCACCTTGTATGATGCAAACACACAGCTCTGCGTGTTTAGAACGTCAAATGCATTGGATTTAGTCCTATAGTATTTTTATAACTCTATGGGTAATGCTGAACTTTTGAAATATTTATTCAATCCACATTTTTTTATGAATTAATGATAATTTTGTAATCACATTTTAAACAATAGTCTAGTTAACACAAGCTATTTAAATTTTAAACAATAGTCTAGTTAACACAAGCTATTTAAATTTTTTTCAGGCTAACATGATAAGAGACTTTGATTTGAATGTAATTTATGAAGAGAGTAAAACAAAAGCACAAAGAAAACAGGAGAAAAAAGAAAAGGCGGAAGACAATAAGGAAAATGCTGAAGAGAAAAAAGAGAAGTGAAAGGAAGATCACTTAGATATGAGAGTAGATAAAGAACAATTGAGGTCATTGACCTTTCCAGAATGTTAATCAAAGTTAACTGACTGACCAGAACAGGACAAGGATTGCATGCTTGTCCCACAACCACACGTGTTCACATACGTTAACGCAGGATTGCATGCTTGTCCCACAACCACACGTGTTCACATACGTTTACGCTATCGTTTTGTGGGACCGTAGTAACAATATCCAGGGGGTGGGGCTCAGCGAGATGGTCCAATGAAAAGCATGCTGTGAGATTGATTCTTTCTTTAGATTGCGGGCACTTTGAGTACTTGAGTGCTGGTTTTCAAAGTGGTACAGTTACAAAACAAACCATCAAAATAGAAAGAAAAAAAAATAAATACACAAAGTCAAAAGGATTACACAATAATAGTGTATTGTGCCAATATGCCTAACTAAATATAAAGCTCTTTCCCAATTATCAAATTGTCTTTGGTAAAACGCTGCTGTATGCCCATATATAGTCATGATGTTTCTATATATGGTCATGATGTGATGTCATATTTAGGAATGTTACATGGTTTTGTCAAATACAATTTGACAGTCCGGATAGGGCTTTATAATTCAATATTTGAATTGCTTACGTCAATAACTTTCAATTAATAATTAGAACAGGAAAATATATTCCTTGCCATTTAAAGATGTATTGTATCATGCAAAATACCAAAAAAGCACCAAAAAAAAAGCATAAAAATCATTATTAAAATTAACTTGCTCATTTTGAAGTAAACATAAAAATGTTTACCCATAAATTTACAGTAATAAATGATAGAAATACTTGCAGTCAATGGAAGTGTTTTAATAAATTTATTATATCCATTCCAGTATAACAATCAGGGTACAGATTGTAGAATTCAACCATTTCTATGCTCAAGTTTTCTATAGAAAAGGAAATTATTGTTTGTGATTTTTTGTCATTTTCAGGGACAATATACACATGTAATACTGCTCCATTGTCTTAGCGTAGACCCGTAAATAGTCTTGTAATCAATGTATGGATTTTCATAATAAGATGATTTCAAAAACATGATTCTAATTGGAAGCTGAACTTATTTTATCCTTTTAAAATTCAATGTATTCAGTTTATTTTAAAAACCTTTAATTTTATAGTATTGAAATTATGTTAGTCTTCCTTATTTGTCATAGAGATCCCTCACAAAACATTTTGTCTGACACAAAAAACCACTTACTCAACAGACATAAAGCCAGGCTTCTGACGACAACTGATTTTTCTAAGACTCGCAAACAGTGTTTGATGAAAAACTTGGGAACGGTTAATGAGATACAGATTTTTGAATATTTAAAAACCTGTGGGAAAAGGAGTGTAACCACAGTTTCTTCGCCTTCGGTGATCAGAAATCAGTTGTACAGCAATCAGTTGTACAGCATACCAAAAAATGTTTTCCCTCCAAATCCTGGCTAATGAAAATCATTTTAATGTTATTCATTCACTTTTATTTCAGACATTGCCCATATAAAATACAAAAATAAATACCAGTGCAAGTACATGATGTACAGAGTACAACAAAACAGCTTTAAAAAAATGGAAAGTGGAGATTAACCAGTGTCTGTACAGTATAGAAAGCCACCTATCATGAAGCCTATCACAAGGCTGACTAATTTAGTAAAGTAAATGTGATAAATTATAGCACTAGTGGTAAACTGCTTACTTTAGTGTTTACTCCCGTATGTTTGAATGAATGTATGTACAGTACTTAATTTTACCTTATAAGATGCTACTGTACAGGTTGGTGGCCTTCATATGATGCTCATATTCCATCCTTTAAAAAGGCTTATGAAAATTTCAGATCTTACTGTTTTATTTTTTTAATTATATTTTCAATTTTTCGACAAAGAAACAACAAAATAGGTTGAACATGGGTGCAAAGGAAAGTGATGTGCTTAACCAAACCCTACCAATTCTTTTATAAGATAACTTAATGATGCAGGTATTAATTATGTGCTGTTCCTGGTGCTATAACACTACTTAATTAACTAATTTTATAAACGTTTCACTTATGCACTAGTACCACCACTAAGTTATATTGATTCATTGTCCCAGTTGTTATCTCTACTTTAATAATGATATGCAAACAAGATTTTTCTTGTAGTTAAGGACATAAAAGGTGCATGACTTATTAAATGTTTTAAATGACATTCTGTGCAGCTCTTGGTCTGTAATTCAAATAGAAGAGGGGGGTGGGGGCAGGGAAGACCTTTCACAGATGAAAGAATATGGTTGGGGCTGAGGTAAGACAATTTATGATTATGACACGGAAATGGCGCTCTCAGACTTAACATTTGAATATAATTTTCTTATTTACAATTTGAATTCGCCACTGGATTTGTAAACTTGTGGGGGATATACTTATAACAATGACAAAAAAATAGATGAGAGAGAGAGAGGTATGCCGTTCATTAGCACTCCTGAACTGTCACTGGGTATGTGGTGGTGATAGATCTATTTAATACCTTCATGGATGTGATAATTATAAATCCATATTGATTTCCCTTGGACATGCGTCAAAATGATGCAGGTGCTGTTGCTGCATATCTGCATCTGATTTATGATTTGTACTGATAAACAGATAATGACAAGTCTACAACACCAACTAAAACACTTAATTAAAATATTGATTTGCTCACTTAATATACTCAGCTAAATTATCAACTAACAATGAGACAGATGGAAACCATTTTGTTTTTGCTGATTTACATAATTTTCTAAGAAAACCATTTGTTTGCTAAAAGCAATTTAATGGTTCATACAAAGAATATATTTACTGTTTTTATTTTGTTTGTGTCAGGAAATTTCATAGGAGTGATGTTTTGCCCTACCTGACGTGTTGTACCGAATGCTCAGTAAGTTTCCAAATACTTGTGAAAACATTCTCGCAAGTAATTCGGGTGAGAATCGAACCCGTGATCTCCAGATAACTAGTCTGGTGTCATAAACAATAGACTACCGAACTTCACTTGAATCGGATCCCCAAGTAGTCGTGGGTACTGCAATGCTATTTGGGAACTAAGTATTCAGTACGATAACATGTCCGGTAGGACAAAACATCACTCCTACAATATACTTGTAAATGAGTTTTTTAATGCGTTTGTTAGTAACTACGAGGAAAATATTGTTTAATCTTGGGTGAATCCAGAGGAGAACCCTTGAGGTTTTAAAGTTCCCATTTTAAAGCCAGGCTCCGAATGAAAAAAACATTTAATACAGGGCCGGCGGAACGTTTTTCAAAGTTGGGGGTGGGGGCACTTATAAGGTGAATGGGAATATGAATCATGCAGATCTGGAATCAAATCTAGGGGGTCCGGGGTCTTCCCCCGGGAAAATTTTGATTTCTAGATGGCGGGAAATGAATTTTCTCGACTTTTGAGCTAGGTGTCTAATGACTTTGTTCTTCAAAATTCGAGGTTTTCCCCCTCTTTAAAACGGTCAGGTAAACTTTCTCATTCTCATTACAGTAAATGGGCCTGATATGTGTGTAAACATACATTTAAAAAAATGAGTAGTTGCGTAGGCCTACGTATTCTTTTTTCAATGAATCGATAAGAAAGGGGGGTCCGGGGGTTCTCCCCCGTGAAAATTTTGATTCCTGGATGGCGGGAAATGAGCTTTCCCGACTTCTGAGGTGTCTTAATTACTTTTAAGTTCTTCAAAATTCAAGGTTTTCCCCTCTTGAAAACGGTCAGGTAATTTTTTCCCATTGCATTTACAGTAAATAGGCCTGATGTGTGTATACATACATGAAAATTAAAAAAAAGTGAGTAGTTGCATACGATTTTTTTTCCATGAGTCGATAAATCTCAAAAGGCGGGAAATGAGCTTCCCGACTTCTAAGTTGTCTTTTAATTACTTTTAAGTTCTTCAAAATTTAAGGTTTTCCACTCTTTGAAATTATTATAATGAATCAATGAACCCAAAGAGAAAAGAGAGGTCAGAAAAAATTAGCTCACGGGTCCTGAAAAGGTAGGTCTAGAATTCTTTTCCCCCTTTTTTTTGGCCCAAGGGAGGGGTCAGGACCGATGACCCCCCTCCCCCATATCCGCCAATGTGAATTGCGAGAAAATGTAACTCGGTCGGGGACTGGATACACATTCTCTTTCCCACCCTTCTCCTCCTTCTTCCCTCTTTCTTTTCTTGCATTTCTTTCCGATCATACAAAAATCTCCAGACATTATATATTTTTGCCAAAAAGTTGGGGGGGGGGCCGCCCCCCCCCCCACCCGGCACCCGGTTCCGCCGGCCATGTAATACGGTATGTTGTACAACTGATTTTTTTAAAGACACACACACACAAAAAAACATATTTTACGAAAAACTCGGGAATGGTTAATAAGATATAGATTTTTGAATATTTAAAAACTGGGGGAAAAGGGCGTAACTATCCCCTTTTCCACCTTCTACCTCCAGTTTTTAAATATTAAAAAAATATGTAGGCTTATTTCATTAACCGTTAAACCTGTCTCTTATACACATCTAGATGTGTATAAGAGACAGAATCAAACATTATTAAATTATATAGGCCTACATTCAAGCTTAGAAGAAATTCGGACAAACGATTATTTTTTATCCCGGGACCCTAAACGAGGCTCTAGTCATCACTCATATGACATGTCACCTCTCCCCCCCCCCCCGCTGTCACCGCTGCTTCAAACTAATAGAACCAAGATATGCAACTATACGCAGAACTCAGTGGTGTAACGTTGGGGTCGGGGACCCTGTGTATGTCTAAAACTGGTGGCCCTTTTTGGGCCCCGGTCACCAATTCCATTGTGGGATTTTAGATGTGCATTGTTATTGTAAATTTTTTTAACGACGAATAAATTATATAATATGGATCCAGAAAATTGAGGCCAGGGAGGGATTTTCACAGTTGAGTCTATACTACCTCAGAAAATTTATGAATATGGCACCTTTAGATGGCCGGAAATGGCACTTCACGGACATAAAATTGTGAATATATTTTTTTTTCTCCAGTTAAAAAATATTTTGAAAAATTTAGTGGGGCCCCGGGCTGACAGCTCTAGGCCGGCAACCCCCCCCCACCCTCACTCTTTATTCCGCCACTGGATATAATAAATGTCCTACAGTCGATTTCAGACACACATTATGCTGTTGCCCTTGTAGGGCTGAGAAAAGAAAATGATGGACGTCTAGATGGCCGGAAATGGCACTCACAGACTTTTTGTATTTTGTTTTGTAATTTTGTATATAATTTTCTTTTTATTTCCATTTCGAGGAACCTATGGGTAGGGCCCCTTCGGGGCCCCTATAATTCGGGGGCCCTGCGGACCGCCGCATGAGAGTGCATACGGCGTTACGCCACTGGCAGAATTCTTTCATTTTCTTTTGCCACATGTCTATTATTATTTTGGCAAAAAGTGTTAAATTTGGTTTTTTGTTGCATTAAGCCTAATCAATTGGTTCCAAATAGGCCTAATATTGTTATTATCTATGTGATCAATAAATTATTCCTATCTCTTACATTCAAATCTGCTTTAAAGAACAAGTAATGATAAATGAAAGATTTATTATTATATTATCTCGAAATGTGTATAGGGTAGGGTACAAACTGTACCATCAAGACTATCAACACCACAGCACAGTAACTTGGTGTTCGCCCTCTATTGGACAGGCGTACTCAACACGTACTGTATAATTCGAATGCAGAGCTGCTGCTAGGCATCGGTTCGTTCAGTGCCGCCAGCCATAACCACTGATCGATTGCAGACCGAACACAGAATGACATTTTCTCTGGGATTTGATATACATGATTCGAAAACACGATTGACGTACGCAAACTGGGCAGAGGATCTAGGAGTCTTGTGAGAAGTATTACATTTTGTAACGGATCATGAGTTTTATAACTGTTATTTACGGGGGTAAGTTGGGGTCCGATTACAATCTCTAATATA